ACGGAATTTTTATTTAATTAAAATATATATTTTCATTTTTATGAGTATCCTACCGAGGTGCCTTTTTCGCCCCATTTTAAGTGTTGCTGAATGGACATCAATAGGCAAAGCCTATATATTGACTCAAACCCTCAAAGAAAGAATTTTTCAATAAAATAATGAGTTGCTTCAGTATTCGTTGGGTTCCTCTGTAGTCCCCGAATACTTCCCAAAATAGACTTAAATATATAGTTATTTTTTGAAGGTCCATTACTAGAATAGTTCTTCCAAGGGACAGCATAATAGCACTTTTGGCATGTTGAGAATAGACTTGCGTATGGGACAGTTTTGGTTGTTTATCCTAACGTTATGATCTCATTTAAATGAACTGAATAGCTAATTTAAGCACTTTATCCCATTCATATATAAAACTCATTCAACCATCAAGACGGTAGACCAATCATAATTGCTTGTTCCGTGTTGACCGCAACTTCTTATCAATGATTTATAAGGTTCTCCTTTACTGAACTTTCGCTAATAGTTAGGAGGAGTGTAACTCATTCGAATAACCAAACACCGATAAACCGGGCTTAAATCTGGTCGATCTGATACGCACGGCGAACAAGCAGAACCAAAGAATATGTCGCCATTATCTCGACGGTTATTAAAACGTTTGGTTCTGGCGCAAAAATCTGGCGATTCATCAGCACTTTGCATTATGCAAAAAACCTCGCGTACGGCGTATACTTGAAAAATATGCAAATTTGAAAATGCGCCGGATAGACTTAAACCTCGCGAGTTATTTTTCGAGCGATACGGTCTCTCGGGGGCCGACGATCGCGCTATCTACAGTTGGATCTCGGTTTTAATATGCCCGAAAACTGAGTGACGCTGCTGGTGACGTTGCGAGATAAAGGCGGGCCATTTTGTGTGACGGTCGACGTTAATAACCGATTCGATTTTGATTTTTATTTTGCGATTGTCTCGCCACTTTCCGACACTCGGTTTTGTTTGTAATTATCAAAAAAATTATTAAGGTAAAATTAAAAAAGATCTTATCGTTAATACAAAAATAAAATATAATATATATCTCTTTTAATTACTCTCAAATTAGTGCCGCCATTAATAAAATAAATAGCGACCTACGTGCTCTCAGTGATATTTCTAGTAAGAATGGTCTGTTATTTAACGTAAATAAGACGCAACTTTTTTGGTAAAGATAAAGAAAAATTAATTAATCTAGACGCTGTCAAAAGTTACGGCCGGTTGTCAAATGCAAAAATCTGAGCCTGCATTTGGATAATAAACTGCGTTTTGAAGTTACGTAGCTTCATTGATTCATCGTTTTGCAAACTTCGGATTCTCTACTGTAATAAAAATATTCTGGAAAGCTAAAACTTACCGATTCCTTAATTTTGGTAGTTTACTGGCCTGCCCTACTTCAAAAGGATCAGCGTCTTCAGAATGCCTGTATCAGATTTTCATACATTAATCGTAAATTAGATCACACTACTAGAAGATTATCGCTGGCTAACATTAGAGAAACGCTTTAAATCGCAGCTGTTAGTCTTAATTAAAAAATATCTTTCCAATATGTGATATATCTTTTTGACAAACTTACTCGTAGGTCAGATGTTCATTCAGTTAATACACGCCATAGGGGGCTGTTTACCGTTCCCAAACATACCTCGGCACAGTGTCACATATAATGCTATCAAGGCTTACAACAAACTCCATCTTCAACCGAGATCAATCATCTTACTAGTTTCATTCAAACGACAACTTAAACAATACATTTACCATAATAGAGACCAGTCATAAAAGTAGTGACCATCAAATTGTATACATATATGTATAGTGTTTATTTTTTCTTATCTCTTTCTTTTTTGAATTAAATTTATTAAAAATGTTTTTTTCTCAATTTGATTCTACCACTTTGAATGCAATTTATGCGATATATTTTATTTAATAAATAGTGTCATATGTTCATTTAAGGGGGTTGTATGAGAGGTAACCAAAACTAACCAAAACTATGTTGAATGTCGCGCCCACAGTTATATATTTTGTAATCTCATTCGAAATCGAATATTTATTACTATTATTATTATATTGAAATGAGATTACAAAATTTTGTGTAATCCCAACATCGATGTAAACGTTGACTGATACAATATTTTATTTCTTAAAGCAAGAGACTTATAAAACTAAAATATGCAATTGTAGGGATTATTAAACTGGGTGGAAAACTTAGAGGGAATAAAGAAAATATAAAATAAAAAAGATAATTTGCAATAATAGTTTCCGACAAATTCGTTATATCAGTTTTGCTTACAATATGACTTCGGCGTTAGTACAGGTGGGTAGAAAAATATGAAAATAGAAAAATTGTAATAGATATTATGATTTGAAAAATATTTGAGTCATCATGTTCCGAATAGTCCTATAAACTATAGTCGTTGTAGTCCAGAGAAATAAAAAGGGCCTCTACAGTGTTTTCTATCATGTTATCACGCTCTTTCTTCTTTTTCAATCACATTTTCGACGCACCTACTCCATTTTTCACAATCCACCGGCTTCATTCCCTCTTGAAAGAGGTTTTCAATGTCCCTCATTTTAAAGGTGGAGCCTTTTATTCTTTTCATAATGAAAATTCATTTCCTTCACGGTTTTGCACAATTTCTTCTTACCCATGGCGCAACGAAATCATCCTTTTTCATTTCAGACATTATTTCGTCCAATATATGTAGGAAAAAACGAGTCTATTATTCTTCTTTTCATCCTTGTTTATTAGCACTTCTCTTTGGTGACATGATGAGACCGTGTATCAGTCGGCATATTGTTGAATCCGGTCATATTCGAACACATTTCAACTATTTTTCCAACTCTGAATGTTGAGTTTTGACTGCGAAGAGCTTTGAACACATTGACAATAAAAATAATAATTTCCTCATTTGTCGAAACCTAATCCGTTTTCCAGCAACGCACTCAGAAATAGTTGCCATTTTCGAGAACTACCACTAAATAACAGGTAGGTCAACTATCTGTCAGTTTATGTGTCACTCTCGCGACCCATGGTACCCATAGCTATAATACTACACCTACAGAATACGGATAAAACCAGTCAGTTTTGCAATAGTGATATATTACTCTAGTCAGTGCTTGTAAACCCTTGAATGTTCTTCATAGTTTATTAACGCTCTTTCATTTATTAAAAGAACTCATATAGCTATTGATATTATCTATACAATATAATAAATAGTTTTTTTTTAATTGTGGATGTAAGTATATGTGTGTCAAGTTGTGCAACAGAATACCATTGAATATTAAACTCATTGATGGTCAACGCTTGTTCAAGGCAGAAATTAGAAAACGATGAATTCGGATACAATCTTCTTGCGTTGATGACTACTTTAATATGTTCCAGGCTTGTTAAGTTTTTTTGTGTGCTTGGTCTATGTTTGCCTGACACTTTTGTTACTTCCGTTTGACGGCGATTCACTTACTTATATTATGTAACAAATTTGAAAGTAAATACTATTATTATTATTATTATTATTATTATTATTATTTCTAAATTCTCATGTCCTCTCATGTCGGCTAGGTGAGTAGCAAAACATGAAATGTGCACTATTGAAGTTGAGGTTGATTAAGAACTCTTCTAATTATGTTGCAGGTAGCTAGTACCACAGACTTCTGCATTTCAAAGTAGGTGGCTGGTTTCACGGTGAGTGTTTCCAAGTTGGTTCTGGGGGACTTTGGTATTTCTCCCATTGCACCGATCACTATAGGAACAATGCACACCCTATCGAGACGCCATGTCTGTTTTATGTCATTCGCTAACGGTATGTATTCTTCCTTTTTCTCACATTATTTCTTTTGCAGATTGTTAGGTGCGGGAATTGCAACGTCGACGAGGGTCACCATTCTATTTGCCTTGTCATAAATAAGAACATCCGGCTTGTTATGCTGGACAGTGCGATCGGTCTGAACAGTTTTGTCCCTTACTTCCAAGCACGGATTCTGGTGAGTATCAGTAGTATGGACACTTCTCTTTTAGAAGTTTAAGGTTGAAGGCTATTTCCTGATGGACTTTCTTGGCTACGTTGTCGTGTCATGTGGTGTACTCCTTCACACATGCGACAATTCGTTGTTGTTATTGTCAGGTCCTTGATTATGATAAGACCGAGTGGGTATGACCGGATCTTGAATTGCACAAATGAAACCCTCAGTCTCGGGGAAGAGGTTGCCGTTCGTTAGCCAGCTAGGGCTTGTCAAGGTCAGCACTGTCAAGCAAGTTTGGATATCTGCCGTGTAGTTCCTTTCCCCGCCACTGGGATTCGAGCTCCAAAATTGAATACTGAAGGTCTCACCAATAGTGTGTGCGCTGCAACATGAGGGGTGTAAGTGATCTATCAAGACCTGTCACTGCTCGATGGAGCGCTGAGCTCTTGCTTTTGGAAGTATTTCCGCAGCAGCTCCACCTGGGTCTTGTGGCATATTCGCAAATCTGAGAATCCCCTGCCTCTCTCTGCCAACTCGTGGATGGTGAGCGCGGAACTTAAGGTCCTATTCAGACCGTCAAGCTCTGTCCGCGTCCAGCCGACGATGCCGAAGCTGTACGCCACTGCAGGGACAGCCTAGAAATTGACTGCAGTCGCCATGTTACGGCCTGATAATCTTGTTTTTAAGCGCTTATTCATCGGTCCCAAGAGACCAAACGGTACGCTAATTGATAGCAGAAGCATAGATGAACGCTGTTTAATAACAACTCATCATCATAGTAACTATGGCGCACGTGTCTAATAGCACCGATTTCTAGAGATTTTTGTGTAGGTATTCCAGTCCCAGCTGCTGTAGGCTCCTTCTTAGGGTTTTTTATATTTTTCCCGTGGCACCTATTACTATTGGAATAACAACCATTGTCTCCATTTTCCACTTGCGTCGGATGCCGTCTGCTAAAGGTAAGTTTTTGTTTCGTGATTTTCTCTGCATAGGTCTACGCTATATTTGAAGATAGCGGTGCTGCAAAGTCAACAATGAAGACTTTTCCCATATTTTTGAAGGTAAGTATCACATCTGGGATATTGTTTGGTATCCGTCGATCAGTGATTGTTTTTCTGTTCCAGTACACGCTGGCGTTTGGATCTCCTCACAGACGGACGATGAGTCGTACTGGTAGGTCCGTTTTGGTGGATGATTTTTCTCACTCTACCATGCCTAGTATTCTGGTTTATCATTGCAAATACGATACTTGGTTTTGTTTATATTTAGAAGCCCCCTGCCACCTTCTGTTCTAAGGATATAAGGCTGTGATGTTGATGAGTTGGGGTGTAAACTTCTGAATTTTGTTAACATCTGGCGAGTTGTTCTATCTAAGGCTTCCAAGTCAGTAAATGGCTATTTAATAATTTCAAAGGAATATGTGAGAATATGTACTATTAATTGCGGCGATGACGTTTGTGCCGGTCAATTTCGTGTCCAACACATATTATTATTATTATTATTATTATTATTATTATTATTATTAATATTATTATTATACTTTTGTAGATTATTCTATTTTTACATTTCTCTTAGTCTGTTTAAATTTTATTTTGAATAGATTTTGTTGGAACTACTAAGCCAATCAAAACTAAATACCATTTTTTGTATTTTGAAATATTCGAACTTTATAAGTTTAGTTCCCCGCACATGTCTCACACAGGCAATAGGCGCCTAAAATGCGTAAGGCATTATTAACCTCAAATCTACTTTCTTTAGACCAATAAACCCTACTTTTATACAAAGCATTGGAACTACTTTATCAGATAATTTATTTTCCTGTAATGTGTCAATTTAAATTTTCATATATAAGTAACCCCAAATATTTTATTTGTTCCATTTATGTTAATATTTAGACTATTTTCAATTGATTCATTTTGCGGCTTTTAAAATAAAGTACATATTATTTAATAAATGTATTGACACAGGTGTATTTCCGTCGCTGTTTAAGATTTCGAGAGTAGTTCCAATCCATAAGGCAGATGATATAAAAGTTGCTAACAACTACAGGCCGATTTCAATCGTGCCTTTGTTCGGAAAAGTTTTTGAGATCTTACTAAAAGATCAGCTTACTTCTTATATTAATAAGATCGAATGTCTTTGTGCTGGTCAGTTTGGATTTAGGGGAGGGTGTTCGACGATCCAAGCAGTGTCTAAAGTTGTGAGTGGGACAGTTGAGGGTCTCGAGGGGGGTGAATTAGTTGGTTTGACCTTGAGTGATCTCTCCAGGGCCTTCGACTGTGTTTCTCACCAGCTTCTTATTAAAAAGCTATACAGATATGGTATACGAGGTCTGCCCTTAGATCTTATAGCGTCCTACTTGCAGGGCCGACAGCAGTTTGTAGAATACCAGGATGACCGTTCATCACTTGAATCAGTAGTAAGCGGGGTGCCCCAGGGTTCCGTCCTGGGCCCGCTACTATTTACAATCTACATAAATGACCTTTATCATTTCTTGGCCCTCAATCAGTGCGTGATGTTTGCCGACGATACATCCTTCACTACATCTGCTAAGAATATCGAGGAGTTGTCCGTTAGGGTTGGCATGTTGCAGGACAGGGCTAATGTCTGGTTCGAAAATAATTATCTTAAATTAAATTTAGACAAGACCCAGAGTATTGTGTTTTCCTCCAATTGCTTGGTAAATAGTGGACAGTCCATCAAGTTGCTTGGCATTAGGATCGATGATAGTGTAAATTGGAAACAACATATCTCAGACCTGAAAAATAGATTGTCCAGCAACATATTCGTTCTTCGACGACTGAGAGGCCTGATATGAACAAGGACTCTGCTTATGGTCTATTTTTCTTTGTTGCATTCACACTTATGCTATGGCACGGTACTGTGGGGTGATTCCTCAGCTGCTGTGGAGATTTTTAGAATGCAGAAAAGGGCCATTCGAGTCGTTGCTAATATAGGATATAGGGACCATTGTCAACCTTATTTTAAAAAATTCAAAGTGATGCCCCTTCCTTGCATCTATATCTACTACCAGTTATTAGAGATACAGAGAACGAAAGGAAACTTTAGCGCTAATTCCGATTGCCATGCCTAGGTTTAGACTGAGGAAGTCTGAGAACAACTCATTGAACCTGAAATTGTATAATGTTTTGCCAGGTACCGTGAAAAAAATGAGCAATAGAAAATTTAAACATACTATTAAAGAATTCCTGCAACGTCATTGTTTTTACTCCCTGCGAGCATACATTGACACTGTCACTGGTATCGATGCGCTATAAAACTGTACTGTCTAATTTTGTTTGTATTAGACGTGTGTTTTTATGTCATTTATTAATTTGATTTTATTGCACTTGAATATCACATCTGACTTGCTACAATTGTAAGTCCCTTTTGTACGAAACGTAGTCAATAAATGAATCTATCTATCTATCTATTTGGTTTTTCTGATGTTGATAAGATATAAAATAATTATTAGGATTGTTGTTAATAAGATTATTAATTTAGTTAGTGAACTTCAATCCAAAAATAGTCGCTATAATTAGAAAATATGTAAGAAAAGTATCTACGAAAATTTAATATAAACTCGTTTTTTGTTCATTCGATAAATGCAAACCGTCCCCAGATCTCCGTAATTAGAAAAAAATGTGCACTCAATAAAATTGTTTCTAGGTATTGTGGACCTCTATCAAACAATCAGAAATATCTAAATCAGTTCCAATGAAAATGAGAAAAAAACTTTTAAAAAATATTGTTAATGCTCTGTATATAAAAATAAAGCGATTGATATAAACTTTCTTAAAATCATCCATGGTATGACACTCCGAAATAAGTGTAATAGGTGCAATAGGTGCAAATGCTGCTTAATTATCAAAAAAAAAAAGAATTGTAATTATTAGAATGATTTCACAAAGTATAATAATAATATGAAACAATCTCGAATTACACTTATCTGCTAATAGTAGTTAAGCGTATGATAAAGAAAAGAACACTTATTACTGCTCATCACCCAAGGATTCGCATGGACCTGTTTACCACTTCCGTAAAATGTGTCACAAAATTTAGTTTAAAATCGAAGCAAACACATAAGTCTTCAATGTTAGTGACGGCCTAGATCTCGACTCCATCAATGCTATATCGGTTGTGGACCATACTCAACGAATGACTAAAGGTAATACGAGCCCTAACAACTAATTGTTTGGACGATGTACGAAATAATAAGAAAACATATTTATACTTATTTTAAATTGATTTTTTTTGCCTTTTCGGTTGAAAAATGGAATCACGCCCTTATTTTTATACCAAAAAGTGCTATCGTAATGAATCATTTTTTTATTTCACATAAATTACATAACAAAATATCAAAAACATACCGAATTTGCTGACAAATAAATATTCGGACGCATTTAAATCTTTTACTTTAAATCGAACATTAATAAGAAGTAACATCACCTTTAACCACCAATAATAGCTGTTATGCGTTTTGGCATGGAATCTACCAAAGTCTTGCAATATTCGGGGGTGAAAGTGTTCCAAATTTCAGTGATTTTTGCCTTTAATGCTGGAACTGTACGCTGAGGATTGTTACGCAAAGTCTTTTTCATCCGATGCCAAAAAGTTTCAATAATATTCAAGTCGGGGCTGCTTGATGGCCACGATAAAACTTTCATATTATGGTCCTCAAACCACTTTTTTGTTTTCGCAGTATGGCAGGAAAATTTTCATTTCCAAAAGTTCGTTCTATTGATGGAATCAAACTTCTTGATAAAATTTGTTGATATTTTTCTGCATTTACAGTACCATCAATGAACTCGTAGTGCGAACCCCTTTACCACTCATACACCCCCATATCATAACACCCTGGGGAAATTTTACCGTGCGCTTTAGACAATCTATGTGAAAGACTTCTGATTTTGTACGAATCACCCTTTTTCGAGAATCGCCTACACACACACATCAAATTTTGATTCGTCGCTGAAGATAACGTTACCCCACGTTTCCGTTGTCCAGGATATTTTAGATTTTGCCCAATCCAAACGTTTTTCCTTATGAATGGCCGTTAATAATGGTTTTTTCTTTGCCTTTAACAAAAGTAGGTCATAGAATATTAATAATTTTTATATTGAAACAGGAAAAATTGTAAACTTACCTTATTAAAACTCAAACCAGACATATGCATCCATTGTCTACAACATTCCCTGGAGACATTTAAGTTTGCCTCGTGATTCCATTGGGCTTGAATTTGTCGTAAGACGCTTCGTCTGCTAGTTTTACAAATCTTAACCAGAATACGACTATCTCTTTCAGTGATTCTACGGGGTCGGCCTGAACTTTTACCCCGAACGCTAACACTATCCCCCCCTGTTGATTTTGCAATACTCAAGTCAATTGAAATTTTTTGCATTGATTTACCTCTGCAGTACTGAGATATGATAATTTGTCGCACATTTTTGTTTGTTGCAACACCACGCGTCATTTTCTTATCAACTATTATACAAACTTGAAAGATACAACCCGAACTGACATCTCATTTATCTAAGCACACTTTATTTTACCGTCAATGCATGGGTAGCATTGATTTCTTGGTCAATGAACATTCGCACCCGAATATTTATTTGTCAGCAAATTTGCTGTTTCCGTTATTTTGCTATGTAATTCATGTGAAATAAAAAATAATTCATTACGATAGCACTTTCTAAAAAAAAATTAAATAGGTATCAAAATGTCTTTCTTTATCATTTCTTACATCGTCCGAACATTTAGTTGTTAGGGCTCCTACTACACCACTTTTTTAAAATTGAACGCAAGACTATTAATCTTAGACCACATCTAAACAGTGTCCACGTCCCTCTGAAGCAGCAGAACATCCTCGCGCGATCTAACCATCCTGAATACCTTCAAATCATCCGCAAACAAAAGACACTGCGACTCCGAAACTACACTAACAATATCATTTATAAATATAAATCTGTATTGGCGAAATTTAGAAATCTGTTGAAATTGCCGGTTTCATATCCGACTTGTATTAAACAAATTCTACGCGTGAACAAAAACTAGCACATACGTCGCACACGCGGAAGCATCGTATGAGTTTCCGTATATGCGGCAGTCATAACGCATCCTGGTTTAAATGTTTCTCACAGCATGTCCGAGCGACATATAGTTGAAGATTATAACTGTTTTGATGAAGACGCGCTTGAAAAAACGAAAGAGGCCGTGCTCGCGACTATTTTATATTTATCGGCGGCGATTTTATTGATACTAGGACGCAATGTAAAGTATATTAATTTATTATGAAATATGTATCGGCTAATGCGAAAGATCAGCGCAGATGTTGATCTTTTTCGCTACCGGTTCGCAAATTGAGGTTAAAAGCCTGCGATCGGATTGTTTATTGAACGCAAGCGCGTATCCCAATCCGCAATTTTTTATTACGAACATGGCCACGCCCGATCGGTATTTTTGGGATTTACACTTCTTTTATGAAATTTCTTTAAAAAAGGCGCAAGTGTTTGTTGATTTTTGTAATTTTTTGTGGCGGCTTATGGAAACACACATGCGTGTCAGTTTGCCGTTGTGACTGCGATTGTGTGGCGTCTTTTCGTCTCGAATTTAGTTTCGCTGTTAAAGCTTTAATAGAAATTGTTAAAAAATACCCAATGTTGTACGAATTGAAACGTGATGATTAAAAAAACATTAGGAAGAAAGACAAAATATGGGATGAGATTGCCAAACAATTGAATTAAAATGGTGGGTAGTGCTGAAACTGATTATTATTTACAAACGTTTGTACACACTATATACCAATGAAATAAGAGTTTAGAATTAAAATAACTGGCAAATTTTTTTCGCTATAAAAATGCCAACCTTGTTGCACGTCTTACATCGTTTTCAAAATTATTAACCGCTCCAATTTGAGGCTCCGGCGTCTCTAGAAACTGAAAATTCTGCAAAATGTAGTTTATTTTTAAAATTAATATTGTAGTTTCCACCTTTGTTTCTATGGGTCTATAAAATATTCGAAATTTTGGAGCTAATATGCCCTCCTTGCAATACAGAGTCTTTTATTATATTTGTCTTTCAAAATGTCTGTCCTAGATTGTCTGTATGGAAAGGACCTCATTAAATATGACTCCAGCCCAAAAGTTTCATCAATATATCAGCATCAGTACTGTTGAAAATTTGTGTAAATAGCACCAATAATTAGATCCAGGTACAAGTACAAATAGCTTCACAAATTTCTGTCACGATTGCACTTTCTGTTGAAAATCCAACTGTAAAACTGTGGCCTACTGTGTAGAAAGTATCACCAGTGGCAAGAAATTTGTAAACGAAAATGTTTTGTTTTAGGTGATGATATTAAAAAAAATCTAAAAAAAAACCAAAACGGGACAAGCAGTAAATAACATAATATAACATAAATAAAAAATGGTTGTGGGCTCAACAAATGACAGTTTTTCGGCGTTACTTGAGTTTTGCCAAAACTTCTTCCAAGATCAGTGACAATAATCCTACAAATATCCATTTTGCGGAACCTGAATTAGAACCCATTTCAGAAAACTTTGACACTGAAATACCTAGTTCCGAAAATGCAGATAGAGTTCCCACTGAAAAAATAGAGAACCTCATGAAAGGAACAAACAAGTTTTAAATGTTACTCAGTCATCCCAATTAACAACGGTAACAAATACCACTCCAACTAGTTCTTCAACTGCAAATATTAAAACCAGCAGAAAGCGTAATAACTCTACACCAGTGTCTTCTGTAGGAGAGATGGTAAAATGTTTTGAAAATAAAAAAAAATGAATATGATATGTCACAGGCTTGGCTCACGCCAAGACCATAAAATCATTTTCCGGAAGGAGCTAAGTCATCGTGGAACAGGAACTTTTGCATCATGAGTAAGTCAACACAAACATGATGCCTAGACCTGAAGGTGGAAGCAGTTCTCTGTACGGCACTTTATCTGAATTTTTACATGATGATAACTCTAATATTGCACCAGTGCCGAGACCTGAAAGTGGAGATGCCAGATCTTCATCTGGATTTTCAGCAGTCTCAAGGAATGGCCAACTTTGTTACTTCTTTTAATTTACTCCGTGAAAATAACATATATTAATAATAATTCCTACTTGTCCGTTTCAAAAATACATTACCTAATTGTTCTTAAATTGTTTTTTTTACCTCAATGTAACGGCAAGTCGGTCTTCAGGTGAAATAATTTCACGAGAATTTGTGTCGGATTTTCGAATGTCTTTTATGATAAGGCTCAAAATTTCACTAGTCACTAGTCATTCTGAAATATATATAAAACCGTGTTTCATGCTTTCCGAGGTCTGGCATCAATGCATGAAATTCTCCATACTTGTTTCGTTCCAACTTAATACCATGTACCCACTAATAAATAAATAAATACTATGTAGACAAAAATATACGTACTTCACATTTTCGTCAGCTTCTAAGGCAAGTAACAAAAGTGCCGAAAACTTTCACTTCTTATTTATTTTAATGAATGGATTTTAAAATTAACTGAAGAAACTTTATTTATGTGAAAATTATAACACGTGTTGCAAACTCAAAACGCATATTTGAGTTGCCTTTTAACAAGTCAACAATAAAGAGAACTCAGTATCATAAGGGACTTGTTTAGTCTATTGCTAATGTGGTCAACAAATCATAACTCACAGTCTAAACTTTA